CCTACCTACCTACCTACCTACCTGTATATATCTATAAATAAAAGAAGCTGGGCAGGTTGTGCACACAGGCAATTCCAGTAAGGAATACACCAATACAAGAGAGGTACAAAATAACACACCCTTCCCAGAGAGAGTGGAAAATAAACCACTGGCCAGGAAAATGTTTCGATCTTGACTGCATCATGTGACTGGGGAAAAAGCAATAATCTAACTGGGGAATAACTAGAGAATGTTTCCCTCGTCTGACCAGGGCCTCTGTTGCAGTAAAAACACTAAAGAGTCTTGTGGTATTTTAAAAGCTAATAAGTTTTAATTTGGCATAAATTTTTGTGGACTGCATCCTGTTTCATCAGATGCATGGAGTATAGCCTCAGAAGTATGTATTCAAATATAATGGAGGGGGAGGAAACCTCTGTTTTATCACCCACCAATAATTACTGAAATACACTTAACTGTCACCATTAAGATGATCACCAAAGTAAATCTCAAATCTCAAAGTAATTTCAAGAATGCTGTCAGATAAGAAGGAAAAGCTTTTGTCACATTAATCCAAATTCTGAACAAGAGGGCTCTGACTTGAAAAGATTTAGGGCCTGTCAGAACTGAAATAGGATTCTGAGGAAGCAGAGCAAGTCCAATCTGAACCTGAAATGTTGTTACCATCTCTGAGATTTAAAAAGGACCCAGGCACAGACAGTGTGTCTGCAAAAACTGATGGAAAACCATGGTGTACTGAGTGAAGAGAGAAAAGAGAAGGTGTAGTTTTGTGTCAGATAGCTGCAGCTTCTCAACATAATGAATAGTTTATAAGTACAGTAGGTACAAATGCTCTAACTATATACAGAGAAGAATGGTAGCAAAGGTTTATCCAGCAAGCATATTTTTTAAATATATTCTTTATTCATTTTCATGGGGATAGGGGTTATGGTACAAATAGGGGGCCAGGTAAGGGGGGGAAGGGCAAGAAAGGCTGAAATTCCAGAGAGCGAAAGGTATTCTTACATCCGTTTATACAATTGTATTAAAGATGGAAATCATACAAAGAGGGGAAAAACATTATAACAATTTTCCATGATATTTATCATTACTAATCTTCCATTTTCTTAGACCTTCTCTTTCTTTTTATCTTTAAGTTTACTAGTTTTATAGGTTTAATATTATTCTGCCAATTTATATCTATTGCTGTAAATCAATGTTATAGCCATTAGCTTGCATTTATTGATCATATATTCTTTCACCACAAAATACCTTCTTAAATTTCATCTCTGCTGCTTCATCTCCATATTCTAACCAATATTTTGTGCCCCTGTTATCGTATTGTTTTTTCATTTTCCATCTTATGGACCATGCATCCATTCTCAAGAGTTTCATCCAATACACGCATCTACTCCTTTGTCCCATGTGCCACAGCATGTGTCCCTTCACCTCGATTCTTCTCCCTTTCATAGCAAAATTCGTAGGAAAGTTCACCATTTGCTGTACTTTTGCTGCTGACATCTCCATAAGAGGGATTAACAAATTGGCTCTCTGCTGCATTATACCTTCACCTTTTTCTTCTGGAACCTTCTGTAGTTTAAGAATAAAATTGTCTGTCTCTATTTGTGGTTTTAAAAAAACTGGTTCCCTGTTGCAGATTCACTTCTTCCTCCATCTTCACTGTAAATTCCATTTGTGTCCCTATGTCTCCAACTTGTTGAAACAGCTGATTCATCTCTGTTTTCATCTGGTACAGTCCCTTGAGTATGTTTTGAATATTCTTGAGAAAGACTTGTTGTACCATAATTGGAAGTATTATCTGGATTTCTTTCCAGCAGGTAGTGACCACAATAGTTATTCACAATAGTAGCTTGGTGCAGAAGGTTGACAGGAGGAAGGGCTTTCCCCAAGACTGTTTCTGGCTGCTTCACAGATTTAAATCCATCAGTAGTTTATGGGTATATTGTCCTGCGGGAGTGAGTTTTATTGCTGCAATAGATGCAAAGTTGATTTTCTCCCTGCTTCCTCCTCCTTTCTTTCTGTTTCTCTCAACCAAGCCTCAGATGAAGGGGGGAGAGTGTTCACCAGTCTGGCCAGATATATGTCTAGTCACTTTCTTTGACAGATTACACATACACTCTTCGTTGTTTAGGTCCTTAAGAGTTCCATATGTAAAACAAGCCACTTACCTCAAGTTTTGATCAAGATGATTTTCCAAAATCCTGTAGTTTTCCACTCTCTGCCTTTGTGACATTCACAGCTCTGTGCCAAAGACGGCACCCACTCAGTTTTGGCTTCCAGATTGCGACTTCAAAGAGAGGCTAGTCCAGGAATCTCCCAGGCCACCACCCCCACTTCTCAGTCAGATTCTATTGCTTCAGACTTTCACTTCTCCTAGTAAAGGTCCTCCTCCCCCCCAAGTTTGGAGGGGTCAAAACCAAGTGGTCTCAGTCAGTCTCAGGAGCCTCTTGAAACCCAACCAGTCTAGCTGCAATGAAGCCCTGCCTTCTCCAGCAACCATATTCTTAGGAACAAACATTTTGAATACCCTCAGTACCAACAGGCACCCTCAGTACTAACAGGCTGAATATGTGTGAAATAGGCAGCATACAGGATCAGAGTAAGACACTGGAAGTGCAAATCTGTGTAGTTATATTATGTATTTGTTTCTGAACCAGTATTTTATTTTAGGCTTTTAAGGACTATTCACCTAGATCTGCTTTCTTTGTGATCTGGATCTTCTGCTTTGGGCAATATCTGGGACTTTGTTTCTGACATACGCTCTAATTAATTTTCCCTACAAGCAACTCTTAATCGAACAGTGTTAGTGAATTATAATCAAGAGATTATATTTGTAGCATTCCGTCCAACCTGTGCTTTTATTATTTTTGTTGCAGTTTTGTTATTTGAAACACACACACACACATTTGTACAGTTCATTGTGTTTTAATGTTCACATAAAAAAGCTAATCTCACAGAACTCAGAGACTAGTATACACTCATTTAGATTCTTCCCCCCACCCCCCCAAATATCCTTTCAAAGATCTCAGGCTGACAGCAGTGAATGTAAACATGATACAATACAACATTAAAATCATACTTCCATGATAGCTTGTACTAATACAGTGGTGCCTTGCTTAACGAGCACACTGTTTAACGACGAATCCGCATAGTGATGCGGATTTTGTGATCATTTTTACGATCGCATTGCGATATTTTCTATGGCCGAAAATTGCATTGCGATGATCAGTAAGCGTTTCGCTTACCGATCTTCGCATTGCGATGTTTTTTTAAACAGCTGATCGGCGGTTCCAAAATGGCCACCGGGTGCCCAAATTGGCCACTGCAAGTGTTTTTGCGCCCTGCTCTTGCTTACCGAGGGCTCGAAAATGGCGGCGCTATGGAGGAACTTCGCTGAACTGTGAGTTTGGGAGCCATAGGAACGCATTAAACGGATTAACGTCGCTATGCGGGGCACCACTGTACATGTATTTTCAATTTTTGCCTAGAAAACAACAGTATGACAAAAAAAATGCTATTGGACGTCTTTCTCACACAAACATAGACACTGTGATTCCTTATTTTATTCTACATGCATGACAACGAGGGGGTGTGGTGTATGCAATTGATATATTCTTATATCAAAAAGAAGGGAATTGGTTTGAAATTCCCACTCAGCTAGAACTACACAGGCCTATGACCATTGTGAGGTACAATATGGTTTGTGTATACAGCCAAAATGAGTAGGGAAAGAAATGCCACTTCACCAGATACAGTGGTGCCTCGCAAGACGAACACCTCATGGGACGAAAAACCCACAAGACAAATGGTTTTTGAGAACGCTGTGGTGCCTCACAAGACGGCTTCTTCTATGGCCATGCTTCGCAAGATGCTCTTGTTCCCCAAGACTGATGCCTCGCAAGATGAAAATAATCCATTTGTCTTGCAAGGTTCCCATAGGAATGCATTGCAATGCATTCCTATGGGAAACCGCTTTTTGCAAGATGAAAAATTTTGCAAGACAGTGCTACTTGTGGAACGAATAACTTTCATCTTGCGAGGCACCACTGTATATGAAGCCCCAGAGGTAGATAATTATACACAAATAAGGTACAAGGAGAAATGTGGAATCTGATAAAAATGCAGAAGAAACTTGGACAACATTTTCTGTGTCATTTGTACAGAATGATTGGCACTTGATTTGTCAGTAGTATTGTGGATATCCACCTTTTTGTACATAAATATAATAAGCCAATTTCATTCAATTAAAAACATGCAAATTAGCTAATTTGCCATAATCTTGCATTTGCGATTGATGGAACCATTGGTCTTGAACAGATTATCAGGTGTTCCACAGTAGTTCTAACCCCCCATTTTAGCTGACCTATTTTGTGTTTCAGTGTACAGGACTAGAACCAACTCAAAGTATCCAGTAAACTGTAGATATTCTGCTAGTGTGACAATGGCATTTAATGTTGATCTTGTGTATGTCCTTGTTGGGGGGATTTTACAGGTCATTCAGTAGCCCCATGGCAATTTGGAAACCTTCAGAAAGTAGAAGATCCAGCAAACAAATGTCCTGATGTATCTGGAGATACGGGAAAACATGCAAGCAACTCCCATCAGCAAGATTATTGCAAAAAGAGATATGTAAGTTGTAAACAAAAAATAGAGGAAAACAATAGCTGATGTTTGACAAATTCAAAGCAGACATAAGATGAGTAGTGCTCAAATTGCAAACAGGTCTGAGGGAGCCTGGCCCCATTACTGTTCATGTTAGTACTCTTAGCTACTCTTCATAGAAGGCTACCATGGTCATGACTTGGCTAGTAATTGTATGGCCCCCACCATAGGGCAGTGGTCAGCAGTTTCTGACATTTTGCTAAAAATTGTCTGTGATCTGGCTTACCATCTCATTGTCTCTGGCTCATCAACTCTTTGTTCAGCATCTTGATGTTAATGGATATACCTCTAACCTTTCTCTGTTGCATAGACATGCCTGTTATGAACAGATTCCCTCTACTTTTTACTGGCATTCTCATGGCATAAATTGATAATGCTCCCTTTTAGAGTACATAAAAAGCAAACACCAACCATCATACTAGATCATGAATATAAAAATTTCTTGCTGATTTCCCCTCCTCATAATGAGCTATTATTTCATTGCAACCCAAGGAAGATGGGCAAATGATAAGACAAGCTACAAAACTGGCCAATAAATACACCCTCTGGCTTACAGAACTCTTCATCTGCTACCACCCCCATTGGCCAATATGCGGGCATGGGGTGGAGATGCATGCCAACATCCAATGCCCCACCTCTCAGCTGGCATTGATTGGTACAGCTGCCTACTTGTGTTAAAATTGTAAGTGATGCATGGGTATTGAAAAGGTATTGATGTAGTATAAAAATGATAGCTCAGTAAGTTAGGTATCTGACTCCAGAGCCAGAGTTTGGAAGTTCTGTTTCCAACTGTACATCCCAGGAGAGCCAGCCTGTGTGGTTTTGGGTAAACTGCACAGTTCCAGAATTCCCTCAGAAGGAATGGTAAAACATTTCTCTTTACCTAGAAAACTGCAAGAAGGCTCACCGTAAGACTTGAACTCACTTGAGAGAACACAATTATTAGTAGCATAGAAACAATTGGCTTGTATTATGTGAAACATGGCAATGTGTCCAAATGACCAGCAGGTGGTGTTTAGTGAATTAGCAAATTGCTCGATCTGTAACTTACTCCTTCAATAACTTGCAGTGACCATATCTCGTTTGCCTCACAAATATAAAGACTCAGTCTAAACATCTGTCACGATAGCAGCTTGCCAGCCTCCTAAGTTATGAGTATTGTAGTTTACCACCCTGGTAAAAGAAATAGAGATTTCTCTTTAAAAAATTCCAACTTTACCAACCAAGCAAAATGATATTGTTGACAGTTGAGAGGAAGATAAGGACCTTTAAAATGGTACAAATAGCATCCCAAAGAGATAGCTGGGCAAGGAACAAATGACAAGAGGAGAGCACCTTTATAGGGGAGGAGATTCTGCTGGGGTGAGGGTAAGATTTTTGCAAAGACTTACGCTGGTGTGATTCTATAATTGGTTGTGCTTTAGTTTATCATATTTCAGGATTTCATAAGTTAACTATTAGTGTAACTGTAACCCAAACAAAAATCAGGGAAGCGATGGTGCTGAGTTGCACTATACGTGTAAGATCTAACATTCCTCTTTTTCAGAAATCGAAATGCAAGAAAGTGCTTTCCCATTTTGGGAACTGCTCTAAAGCGGTCAGTGTTGATGATTACCAAGCCATTTGCGTGGATGATATGTGCAGCTGCTCTGAGAAATCGTCTCATTCTGACCTGGTGGCAAAGTGCGTGTGCAGCACCCTCAGCCAGTACGCCCGAGACTGTGTCCTCAGGGGTGGAAATCCTGGAAAATGGAGATCCAAAGAGCTTTGCTGTGAGTCAAGGAAAATGATGAAGGCTGGGTGGGTCAGGGAAGACAAAGCATGGCACTCCGGGTATTGTTGAACTGCAACTCCCATGAACCACAGGCAGCAGGGGGATGCTGGGAACTGCAGTCCTAGAATATCTGGGGATTGCATGTTTCCCACCTCTTTTCTATGCCATTGGTGTAATATTCATAGTTGCAAGTAGCAAGCGCTACAAGCACTCTCCGGGCGGTTTACAATTTTAATTATACAGGCTACACCATCGGTGTAATATTCCTAGTTGCAAGTAGCAGCTGTGTTTCCTTTTCAAAATGCTTTTTTTCTTCCTTAGGACAAACACTTGAATTAGTTCTCTTTTGTGCTGACTGTTTCAAGAACTAAAGAACAGCATAACCATAAGATTCCAAAATGCAGCCTTGTATTATACTCAGGAGGAACTCCTCTTGGCTTCAGTGGACTTTCTTCCAAATATGTTTATATCATATAGTGTTGAGAGTTAGTTAATGTTTTTTTTAATTATGGCATTCATAATAGCATGTCAGGAGCTTCAAAGTTTACCTAGTAAAACCAGAGAACCAGGAAACCAACAGGGTGAAGCAAAATAGCGTTCAAATGCTTTAGATTTTATGACGTAGCTGCAGTCAAATCAGGAAGTTGTATTTGATTGTTTACAACTGATGGCCTAAAATCTTGTTGCATAGATAAGAAATTTTGTAACTTTCAGTCCATTCCTAATGGGCATAATAAAAGTCCCTGATGCAATACTCAGGGCCACATGAACAATTCTCGGGGGCACATGCACATTCTGGCTTGGTGTGTGAACATGCACAGCTGAGAACTGTGGCAAAGATTCTCCATTTGCTGGCTAGGAATGGTGTGAAAGTTATCAGTTTTCTTACCCAAGCAACAGGGTTTCAGCCATTGATCTATTGTCAAGGACAATATCTCATATAAGAAAACTGAAGAAAAGAGAGAGGCCCTATAGAAGGGATCTAGATGCACTAGGGACATGGTGGCACTGCGGGTTAAACCACAGAAGCCTCTGTGCTGCAAGGTCAGAAGACCTGCAGTCATGAGATCAAATCCATGCAACGGAGTGAGCTCCCGTCGCTTGTCTCAGCTCCTGCCAACCTAGCAGTTCGAAAGCATGTAAATGCGAGTAGATAAATAGGGACCACCTCGGTGGGTAACGGCGTTCTATGTCTAGTCACACTGGCCACATGACCACGGAAACTGTCTATGGACAAATGCTGGCTCTATGGCTTGGAAACGGGGATGAGCACCACCCCTAGAGTTGGACACAACTGGGCTAAATGTCAAGGGGAACCTTTAAATGTAGTTGTTGGACTAAATGTCAAGGGGAACCTTTAGATGCAGGGTTTTGTTTTTTGTTTTTTACGAGAGAGAGAGAGAGAGAGTTCAGTTCATCTCTATTTAGATGCATACCACTGGTTTTAAAAAAATGCAAGATCAATTTTGATGAGAGTCACCAATGTTACTTTTTATTTATTTGTTTTTTATTTATTTGTTTGCATGTATAGTCCAGAAATGTCCAAACAACCTGGTATATAAGGAATGTGGAAACCCTTGTGTTGACACCTGCTTCAACCCAGAAAGGAGCAAACTATGTAAAGCCCCATGTGCTGATGGCTGCTTTTGTCCTGAGGGTGAGACCATTATATTATTCATCATTTGAACAGCACTGTAAGTACTGTGCAAGGCTTTCTTTGCACATCATGTCAGCAACCCTGTGAAACAAATCACTAGTACACCTATTTTTCAAGGGCTAGCCAGAGAACAGTGGTTAATTTCTAAAAGGGTGCAATGGCAGGGCTGAACTATAAATCAACCAAAAAGCCTTGTGGTCTCGGATGGAGATGTTCAGACCAGCTGCACATTTTTTTCATGGTTTCTAATTTCTCTTCCATAGTTTACTTTACTCCACTCAGATTAAACCTGGAAAAACTACAGCTGATCTATTTATCTGTCTTTGTTGCATAGTCCCTTGAATCACACCTGATGTTGTTTGCTTTTGTGAGATTTGTTTAAATCTCACAAAATGTTGCTTCACAGAAGTAACTTTCGTTTGGTGCTGCTTTCACGAAGTTGTGCATTTGTAGAGTGCCTTTTTCACCTTGATCAAATAATCATCACATATGGCATCGGTGGAAAGGTTGCATTTCCTTAGAGGAAGTTTGTGGGGAATTAAAACAAAAACAAGAAGTATTAAATCCAATTGTTTGTCATAATTGGTAAGCCCACTGATTCATGGGACTTTTGTCAGTCAACACTTATTTGAGTTTTATTCATTCAGTGGGTCTACTCTAGTCAGGCAGATTAATCTCTGTGAATCACTGTTTCTTTGAATGAGACCAGAAATATTATAAATAAGGGCAAATGTAAAGGCGGATTTTGCTAATCAGTTCTTTTCCCACCCCACCCCAAAATGTTGTTTCTAAAAACAGCCTTGCTTGGGTATTGTGACTAATAGGGCAAACTATGAAATACTAATCCAGCTGCAATCCAAACCATTATATTACAACTTTAGATCTTTTTATTGTGGCTAATTCAGTTGTATTATAGGGGAGACAGTAGTGACCTACCCTACAGGGTCATTGTAAGGATTAACTGCAATCATATACACAAGAGTACTTTGAATACCCAAAACACAATATGCATTATTAGCACTGTTATTATTTTTGTCATTGTTATTTACTGGTGCAGTGTCTGTCAACAAGTGTATACACTTCAAAATTGTCTCCTCCAATCATGAAAAATTGAGAGGGGGGAAGCATGATATTTATTTTCCTTTATTTAATTGTTTCCCCTCCAAACATCTAAACTATGTATCTAAACAGGAACGATTCTTGATGACATCAGTAGCAAAAAATGCATTCCTGCGGGCAGCTGCCCCTGCAGCTTTCAAGGCAACGTCTTTACAGCTGGAAACACGTATTCCATCCCTTGCCAGAACTGGTACTGTATTGTTACAAGCTTGTTAAAAATGATGCATCAGACTGAGACATTTACTGACTTCTACTGGGTCAATCCTTAGATGACTCCAGGGTTTCTGCTATGGTTGGAACAAACATAAGCTATAAATACAAATTTCATTTTTTTGGAAAGAGTTCATGGCTATGAATCTGGAAAGTACTTCTTGACAACAACATCTCAAGCCCAAATCCTTAATGCTATTACAGTATGATGATGATGATGATGATGATGATGATGATGATGATGATGATGATGATGATGATGATGATGATGATGATTGCCTCCATGATCCATAGGGTCCCAGCTCTGCAGTTCTAAGATGATTTCTTTTTTTACTATTATTGGTATTTTTTAAAAAAATCATCATCATCTTAGAACTGCAGAGCTGGAAGGGACCCTATGGATCCTTGAGTGCAGCCCCTTTCAGGGAGGCGAAGTGGGGAGTCGAACTCTCAGCCTCTGGCTTTGCAGCCAGAGAACTAAACCACTGGGTCGTCCAGCAGTTATAATATTTATTTAAAGGTAAAACTGTTTTTGGGTGATTGATGATGATGATGATGATGATGATTGCCTCCATGATCCATAGGGTCCCAGCTCTGCAGTTCTAAGATGATTTCTTTTTTTTAAAAAATCATCATCATCTTAGAACTGCAGAGCTGGAAGGGACCCTATGGATCCTTGAGTGCAGCCCCTTTCAGGGAAGGCGAAGTGGGGAGTTGAACTCTCAACCTCTGGCTTTGCAGCCAGAGAACTAAACCACTGGGTCATCCAGCAGTTATAATATTTATTTAAAGGTAAAACTGTTTTTGGGTGATAGTGATGATGATGATGCTTTTCTGATAAGAGCATTGAAAGTGTCTTGCTGAATAGAGACATAGAATAGCATAGAGGTTTGATGGCACTTACCATGCTTTCAGGTGAATTAGTCTTTAGGCTGGGTTCATGGGATGGATAAACAGAGTCTTTCTGTACCTAGGAAAGCAATATGGAGGAAAATGCACACCCACTTTTGCAAGCAACTGCCCAGGTTGTGCAGAGGACGGGCAAGGGTTCACATATGTATTACATCCTTGCTGTCTTGTACTGTTTATTTAAAAACATTTTAATCAGCAAGGGCTGGTGCCTGCTGTGGTTGGTGGGGCAGAAGGTAGAGCAATGTAGCTGGTGAGTAGACCAAGGGGCAAAAAAAGTGGGTAGCCTGAAATGGAGGGGACAGTGCCCCCTTTGCACTAATGGAAGAGCCACCACTGCTTCTAATGTTGCTTTAAGTTAGGTGGGTAAGGTGTGGTCCTCCAGATGTGGCTGTATTCTTCATGACTGGCTATGCTGGTTAAAGCCAATGGGATCTACCATCCTACATCTGCAGGGACATAGTATGTCTACTCATATTTTAAATAATTCTTGTATTGGGCATTGAAAAGAAAAGGTGGAGCTATACATCAGTTTGTGTTGCATGGATGCAGCTTCAGCACAATTTATTTATTTATTTGATTTCTATGTTCCCCTATTAGTGAACCACCCTGGGCAGTTTATGGAATAAAACATGGAACCCCTCAAACACAACAGCCTATAGTAGCCGTCCCAGTACTATATCAAACTCTCTCCGCTTTTTGTGTGTGTTTATTTGTTCAATTTTGTTTCGTAGCACCTGCACTGGAGGGAGATGGTCTTGCATATCACTCCCTTGTTCTGGAAACTGTAAAATAGAAGGAGGAGCTCACATAACGACATTTGACAAGAAGGAATTCATTTTCCACGGCAACTGTCAGTATGTCTTAGCCAAGGTAACAAGTCGTTCTGAAAAAGTCTGAGACGTTTTATGAGCAGCAAACAGACAATAAAAATAGCGAAATTGGGTTACTAAGTATATTCCAAATTAAGTGTCTCATTAAATCCTTATTTAAAGAAAACTTATAAATTGTACTACATGTACTTCATTGTCATACTGAGTGCCTGCTGTCCAATAAAGCCCAAGATTTATGGAGTCATGTTCTGTACTGTGCTTACTGTTGCAACTGTTGATTTTTTTTCCCCATCTGGGTGCTAGGAAAATGTGATTTTGCTGCAATTGAAGAACAAATGGGAGAACAACACCTGGAGCCTCTACAGCTCCTGAGTAACAATGGCATATTTTATGTCAGAGTAGTGGGGGTCTGAAGAACAGCTCCATAAATTTTATAGCAGATATTTATAATACACTTTTTCCTACAGCAAAACAATAAACCAGAGTCTGGATCCCATGGTTCAAATAAAGATTGCCAGATATGTTTAATATAGCTTCAAAGTTATGTGTAGATGCAATGCACATACTGTCCAAATTTATGAGCACCATCCCATGCAGTTTTTTCTCCAGGAGACAACAAAATTGGGAGGAGGAAATTTCCTAACTGGAAAATATCCAGAGATCGTCAACACTTGTTTATTCATAACAAACAGGTCTACCTAAAAAAAAGTGGCATGGCCATACTTCCATTAAACATGAAGCACAAAGCAACATGTGCTGTTTATATACCACCCGATAGTGCTTAAAAAGGGATGTGGTGGTGCTGTGGATGAAACCACAGAAGCCTTTGTGCTGCAAGGTTGGAAGACCAGCAGTCGTAAGATCAAATCCATGCGACAAAGTGAGCTAGCTCCCATCGCTTTGTCCCAGCTCCTGCCAACCTAGCAGTTAGAAAGCATGTATAAATGCAAGTACAGTACTTAAATAGGTACCACCATGATGGGAAGGCAATGGCATTCCGTGTCTAGTTGTGCTGGCCACGTGACCATGGAAACTGTCTACAGACAAACACTGGCTCTACAGCTTGGAAACACGGATTAGCACCACCCCCTGGAGTCAGACACGACTGGACTAAATGTCAAGGGGATCTTTTACCTATAGTGCCTAAAGCACTCTCTGGGCAGTTTACAATTTAATTACTCAGGCTACATGAAACCCTGCCGTTTACCCCCCAATGAGCTGGGTACCCATTTTACCAACCTGGAAAAGCTGGAAGGCTGAGTCAACCTTGAGCTGGCTGCCTGAGTCTTTGGGGATCAAACTTAGGTTGTGAGCAGAGGTTTGATTGCAGTACAGCAGTTTGACCACTGTGCCACGGGGCTCCTATAAGAAGCTAATGTATCGAAGACACTGGAAAAAAGGAGGCTAAATTCTTAAAAGTGTTCTTTGAGTGGGTCTGAATTGCTTGATAATATAGGATTGTTTCCAATTACATTTATGTTTATCACTGCTGGCAATGTTTCTTCCTTGCAGCCTTCTTTCTGGGTTTCCTCTACATTTGTTCTAGTGAGGAAGAAACAGCAGATTTGTGGCTGATCCAGGGCTGTAGTGGGGAGGGTGTGAAAGGAAACCCCTGCTGCTCCTAACTTTGAATATGGCCTATGTAGCCCATACGGCTTCCCATTATCCAATGTTATATCACAGATATGCCATATCTGAAGTTTAAATTGTCCAAAGTGATAAAATTTACAGTGTAAATATCCATATGTCAGCTTTTGGAAAAAACGTGCAGAAGATTTTTCTGTTAGGTCCGTCTCCCTTGCAAACTGATGTGTGGAACCCCTCCCCCTGTTAATGATGAGCACTGACTGCTTGTCAAGTGAGCAGAAAAAGAAGGATGACATTCTTTGACACCCGCTTCACCTCTCCCTTACAAGCTGATATCAGAGCAACAGGCACCTTGGCTGACAGCCATGCCCACCACATTGATGGTGTATGTTTGCTTCCATTTCAGGACACAGACGGATCTTTTGTGGTCATTGTAGAAATGTTTCACTGTGGCATATCAGATACTATGACATGCCTGAAGAATGCTTTAATCACCTTAGGAGCCATGGTATGTTCCTGGAATTTTGTTGGAAAATGCTCTCAACACCTAGCAGAAAAAGTGCTTCAGTCAACCTTGATGTATATTCTCTGTCTGCCCCCACCCCAATCTCTGTATCTTTTCTTCACAGAATATAAGAATCTCTTCTGAGGGAGATGTGTACATCAATAATGTTATTACTGAGTTGCCTGTAACTAAAGGTCAGTATTTCGTTTCACTCTGAGAATTCCTGTGAAAGCAATAGTATATTTGGAATGTGGATACTTGTGCTTGGATGCTGTTTCTAGTTGGAAGTGTGTTCTTGTTTCTTATTAGATGGCATCATTCTCTTCAGACCATCTACCTTCTATGTCAATGTTGTGACTCCTTCCCGGGTACAGATTCAAGTGCAACTGAAACCTATTATGCAGCTCTTCATAACAGTAGATGAAACCTATCAAAATCGTACTTCTGGTATGATACTCTTCAATCCACCATCCCTTAACATCTCATTGCTGTTAATTTGTTTCCATGATCCTTCCCTTCTCATTGGTAAAATGTTGTGATTTCATGGAACATTTACAAACATCTTCATGGAACATTTACAAAAATCTTACTTCCTCAAATCAATAAAAAATAAAAAAGCCATGGGGTCCTTGTATACAATTTGAATGCAAGGGTGGGAGATAGCTTTATTATTTCGCAAGCATGCTAGCTTTTAATTGGCCCTTACTAAACTGCCTATATAAATGGTTCAGTTTTTGAAACCCTTCTGCAGCTGCTGCCATCATCTCATCATCTGAAATGTGGTAACTGGTGATCAGAGAGAAAATGACCTATGTATTTATGTGCTGTTTGTGGAATTCCTTTCTGAGGGAGGCATAGCTTGTTAAAATTTTAACTTTTCAGCCAGCCAATATGTTTTTAATTTCCCAGGTATTGAAGTATATTGTAAGTGTATATTTCTCTCGTAAGAGACTGTTGTTATATTTTAGATGTTTGTTTGTTTGTTTGTTTGTTTGTTTGTTTATATCTCACCTATCTGGTCAATTGCAACCACTCTAGGTGGCTAGAAAAGTCTCCCCTATCCCCATGGCCAGATGTTGGGGTCAGGCTCAACTTACATCAAACAAGAGAGCCTAGCTTCTACATCTGGCCATGATAATTTTGAGGGCTTTTCTGTATCTTCTGCACCACCCCAGTTGTCTAATGCGCAGTCTGATGAAGAGTCCTAAAGGACTTAAAAGTTAGCTTGTTTATGAATTTTTAGTAGTCGTATAAAAGTATCATCTACCTTGTTTTTACAAGCTCAAACTGTTGTTACAAAGATCTCAGAATAAAAGGAGACATTTACTGCTTATGGGAAGGGGTCTGTAAGGGCACATGTCTATTCAAACTATTTTCACATACACAAAAAGTTAGTTCTGTTTTGATGCACACTGAACCATCTAGACGGATCAGCATTTAAAAACGTATGTTGTTGACTAATCATACATTACCTAGTTTTCACCTTCCCATTTGACATGTTCCATCCTCTTGACCTCTAGACCAGTATTATAAAGTTACTTGAGAGGAACACAATATCTGGGCATGTAGCGCTTGGAGCCATATTGCTTCTGGTGACCCCGTGATGCTGTAGAATCGAGATAAGTTTGATTTCGACATATGATACCACAAATCAATTTTAATTCAGTCTCATTTTCAGTCTTCACAAGATCCTTTATATCTAACCACACATATTAATGTGTGGTTATATTAATAATCATATAATATATTAATAATCATATTAATGATTATTTGCCTAAACCAAAGATGTGAAAATTTAAGTGGTTGGGTTGTCCTCTGATCGCTCACAGACACCTGTATTTTCATTCATCTGACCCACTCCATTATAGGCCTCTGTGGAAATTTCAACAATGTGCAGACTGATGATTTTCGAACCGCCAGTGGGATTGTAGAAGACTCTGCTTCGGCATTTGGAAACTCATGGAAGACTATGGCCAGCTGTGCCAACGTTCAAGACAACTTTGAGGATCCCTGTCAGAAAAGTGTGGACAAAAGTACTATTATGCTTTCTAAAATCTGTGGCTTATTTTGTTTTATGGATGCTATCACTGACTTGTCCTCTTGTAACCATTTCCCTAAAATTCTGTCCTTTATTTCTATGTTTAAAAAGAATGCAGAGAGGGGAAATGTTATGTTTTTGGTCTATAGTTCCCAGAATGCCATAGTCAGCAGGGCCATTTATTGACCAATGTTTGCTTGCTTATGTATCAGCTTTCAAAATCATCATTCAAAAAATAATACTTAATGGCCAATTTTTAAAGTCTGCTTCACTAAAATAGCAGTTAAGCCAATATATTTAATAGCAACTTAAATAGCTTGCAGAATTTATAGCATAAACAGTGGGAGTCATTTTTACTGGACTATTCCTGAATTGTAGACACAGAAGATATGAAGGTTCCAAGCATGACTCTAGGAAGAACCTACTTAGAAATTTTGAGGACAGAATCTGGATCTTCTCCATGCAAAACATACGATGTAGCATTGAGCCATGGTCTCTCCCCAGCTTCTCTGCCTTTTGTCCTATCTCTTGCAATCATTTATATATGCAGCAAGAAAAGAAAGATTGGCAGAATGATCAAATAGGTGCCAATACCTTTCTGCTGCTTCTGAAATGAAAAAGTCCATGCCACAGTGCAGCAGTGTTGCTGAAGCACGTCAGTTGCCCTTGGGTCCACAGAAGTACAAAGGCAAATCAATGCAAGGGAAATCAAGATGAGAAAAGCCAAACTTTTTCAAATAATAACAACTTCTTTTTTTCCTTCTATTAGAAACTTTTGGGCAGCATTGGTGTGGCCTTCTATTGGATTCAACTGGGATATTTGCTGGATGTCATTTAGTTAGTGATCCTGCTCCGTATGTCAAGGTGAGGCATAGATTTAGTCATCTATTAAATGCATTGGCAAAACAGCTACCATGTTCTCTAGACTCACAAAGAGAGTATGGCTAAATAAGAAGCTGACAACATATACCAAGATCCAGATCTATAGAGCCTGTGTCCTGAGTACACTCCTGTACTGCAGTGAGTCCTAGACCCTTTGTGTACGGCAGGAGAGGAAGTTGAACATGTTCCATATGCGTTGTCTCTGGGACAAAGTAGAGTAGTCCTAGAATGAGTTGGAATTTTTAGCATGTATGCATTACTGAAACAGTGATGTCTATGTTGGTTTGGGCATGTCATGAGAATGTTTGACAGTCAGAATCCAAAAGATCTCCTGTATGGAGAATTAGTGCAGGGAAATCACTCCAGAGGGAGACCACAGCTGCAATACAAGGATATCTGCAAGCAGGATCTGAAGCCCTTAGGAATGGACCTCAACAGATGGGAAACCTTGACATCTGATCATTCAGCCTGGAGGCAGGTGGTGCAGCATGGCCTCTCCCAACCTGAAGAGACCCTTGTCCAGCAGGCCGAGGCAAAAAGGAAGTCACAAAACCAGCAAAATCAGGGAGCTGGACAGGGGACAGATTGTATTTGTCTTCAGTGTGGAAGGGATTGTCGCTCTTGAATTGGCCTTCTCAGCCACACTAGATGCTGTTCCAAGACCTTTATTCAGAGCACATTACCGTAGTCTCTCAAGATTGAAGGATGCCCACATCTTATGGTGTTTGGCATAGCTTCAACCTATTCAGATGAGATATATTGCACTCGGAATATTCTGCTATGTATTCTCCTTTTGTGCCTCCTAATGAAGAGGTCAGTGGTCATCATGACATCTTTTAGCAGTGAGGCATGCACATTTATTAGCTGTGCTTTTATTTTAAATATTGCACCCAAAATTGATTAATTTCTTAACAAATTAACAATTTGTCGGATGGAGGTAGCTTAGAACAATTGAAACAACACCAAAGTCATATTGGAAGTTTAATCAAGGAACATTATCAAAAGCAGCTGTAGAAAGTGGGGAAAGTGGAAGAGAAACCAATCAAACAAACTTTTTTACAACATTTATAATGTTTATGAAATATAACACTTGTCTTAGTTGTTAAGACTTGATTTAAAATTGGGGCCAAGAAAATATGGGGAAATCTCATGTGACTGATAAAAAGATTAAACAGTATTACAGCCACTCCATTGTCCGATTATACCTAAAATGGAAAGAAAAGCAAACAGCACTTTTCTTTGGAGTCAAAGCAAAGGAGAAACATCATTAAATGGGCCTTTAAAGCAGGTGTGACATCTAAAAGCATGGTGTACCTTTTCAAAGTATGGATGCATCATAGAGATGGAGTCCAGTTGCCCTCTGGTGGTCAGTTTTTGCTTAGACTCAGAAAAAGAGAATTCCAGATAAAGAGTGGACCCTTTTCACTCATTGCAAGTATAAATTCCTTGAAGTTGGTAGGTCTCAGCCAAAGAAATACATTTCTAACCCTGTCTTTGAGTATGTGATCTGTACTGAATCAAATACAGAATCAAATATCTTCTTTAATTTCTTAAAGAAGATTTTGATTGTAGAACACACTCTACTTGTAGAGTAGTTTTTTCATCCTCTCTTTATTTTTGTGGTTAAAAGTGCTTCTTCAGTACTGAGGTTAATAATGCCTAATATCTGTTTCTGTGTTTACAATTTAGAACTGTATTTATGACATATGTAACGGTGAAAAGAGTCAAGAGGCCTTATGCAGTGTATTCTCTGCCTATACCAGAGATTGTGCTTCAAAAGGAATATACCTGAAAGGATGGAGAAGTGGCATCTGCGGTAAGTGTAGCCCATTACCCACAGTAACTTTGCAGTAATTTTCAAGTTTGTGGTGTTATATATATTTTTAGCTACTGCAGGTTGGGGGAATATTCCCAAGAATCAGCTGAATCAGTAGAGAGCCCAGATCCTAAAATAAAAGTAAACCCATCCTCCAAAAGTACCATATTTAGCCCAAACTCACTGTGTCAGGGTGTGACTACACTGGAAAGTCAATTTAATTCACAGCCTATAAAGTATTACATTTAAACCACAGTTATGCTCACGTGGGGCTACAGATTGATTCAGGCATTCATCTCTTATACTGGATGTGATGTGATGCGCATTCCAGTCTACAGTTCTGGCTCTGCTGACCCTTTTAGGCTGTCTAAATATGGAAATAATAATGAAGACCCAGTTTTAAGATGAGAGGATGAGCTAGTGCTAATCTCGTATATGTGTAAGATTTTTTTAAAAAAAGAATTTAAAGAATTGGAAGATGACTGGGGGAATGGAAGGAAGGTCTGTATGTGTATTCTGTTTTGAATCTCATGGAAATCAGGGGAAAGGACTCCCAAGCAGAGCTCAAAGAACTACTTTCACAATTTACCAGCTAGCATGGCCAATTCTGCATAAGGAATTGGAGAATTTGAGTAAAAAGAAAAAAATGTTTTTAAAAGTTTGTCAAGCCACGTAGCTTTTCCATGCTTTTCTTCCAAACAGGTGTGTTTGGAATTCCACTTGTCTCATCTTTTTCTTATTTTTTATTTTTAGTTTCCCTTTTCAGTATTCTTATTGTTTGGAACTAAAGATATGCAGGTTCATTTGATAGACAGTCAAGAACGATTGTGTACCCCAAATGCATTCCAACCTTTGTGTCTACTTCATTTTCAAAGATGCCACTATGGACTGCCCTAAAACAATGGAGTACAGCTATGAAGTGAAATTCTGTAACAATTCTTGTCGTTCACTGAGGGAACCAGACACACTCTGTAATGTTCACATTCTCCCTGTGGATGGCTGTACCTGCCCTGAAGGGACCTATCTTACAAATGAGGAAAAATGTGTCTCTCCAGAGGACTGTCCATGTTACTACAAGGGCATGTGGATCCAAGCTGGGGATTCATTCCAAAAAGATGATATTCTGTGGTAAGCTCATTCAGACAAGAGCCAAAAAAATAAAATGCACATACGTATGCATAACAAGGCTGCAACAACTATACTATATTTGAGATATTTCTGAATCACCATGGCTATAGAGGTTGCTCGAAGGAGTTGATAATAATAAGGCTCTGCAAACATGTATACACAACCCACTGTACAAGCACACAAACACAATCACTAGGTCCAATTGTACATTACATAAGGAATTACATAATTAGTTGAGGGGATTCTTTAAATGCTGTAAATGTTTGATTGTTGCATCAAAAACTTTTCACAACAACCTAAAGATTAGAGATAGGATATAATTGTTCTTTTTTTAATGCATTGGTACAAACCTCCTCTTTTCTTTTTTCTTTCTTTTTTCTTTTCTTTTTGTATTTTTCTTTGTATAGCAAATGCATTCAAGGACAATTAGATTGCATTGGAAAAACAAAAACTAGAAAAGGTGAGAACTTCTGAATTGAATTATTGTCCCATTCTTCAATACATAGATTAGGATTTGTTCCTCCTTGAACAGCTGGAGAATTATGACAGAAGGAATACGGATGCCAAAGAGAAGATATAAAAGGCTGTATCTATGCAGTTCAGAGGAGAAGTATCATGAACCAAATGATTTTTAAAAAAATAATCAATACAGTAGGACCCCCATATCCACAGGATCAGTATCTACTGATTCACTTATCTGCAGTCTAAAAATATTAAAAGAAAAAAATCCAGAAAAAACTATTTTCATGTGTACTACCAGAAAAAGCCACTAGAGGGAGCCCTCCAGCAGCCAGTTATGATAATATATGTGAAAATAACTTTTCCTGTTTTTTTTTCTTTTACCATGCTCTTCCTCCCTCTCTCCCCCTCTCTCTCTCATTTGCAATTATCTGCAATTTTCAGTATCGGGGGGCTTGTAACCAATCCCCAGTGAGCAAGAAGCAGCTATCCCTCCTTTGTTCCATCTGAAAACTGCTACAATGTTGTATTTTAAATCATGGGGTTCCTCAACATTCCTTAGTGCTGTGCTTAGTTTTATATTGTCTGACTTCCGTGCTCTGTTTCTGTTCCAGATTGTCCTTCTCCCATGTACTACTTTGACTGCAGCTCTGCTGGTCCAAGTGCAACTGGATCAGAATGTCAGAAAAGTTGTGAGACACAAGACATGCAGTGTGTAAGGGACTAAGCCTCTTGGCAGTTATATAGGCAAGGCAGTGACTCTGTGCACTTACGTGAATGTCACAGGTGCTGAGGAGAAGTGTACCTATTTACACTGTCTTCCAATTCACATAGAATAATTTAGCCTGAACTGGGCCTTAAACATTTCGGAGGTGGGTGCCTGCACATGTAGCGGAGTTCTTACTTCTGTGGAGAACCTATGTTGTTCTGCATGTGAAGAAAACCAAAAAGAGGAGGTGGGGACAAGAAGGCCTCGGTTTGTGTCTTGGCCAAAGCTGGGGAAAAGAGTGCCCAAAGAGGGACCTGAGTCTAGCATAATTCAGCAAAACAACAGAAACATCATCTGCGGCAGAAAATCAGTCATGCACATCTGCTGTATGATACTGTTATCATAGTGAAATAATTGTGCATATACAATATTTTCTTCCCTTATGTCATTGGTTTTAGCTTACCCCTCACCATTGGGACTGTTGAATAAGGCTGATGGGCATTGTAGTCCAGTAACAGGCATTAAATGTCTATCCTTTGCTTCTTAGATTCTGTCTGTAATACAAATAAGCATATTTCTAATAAAAATTGGTGGTTTTTATCTTTTGATTCACTTAGCTTTATTTACTGTTGATAAGCATCAGCCAATGAAGATCCAATTACTATGTAATAAATTTTCAAAGTAATAACAATAAGTATACTACTACTACTACTACCGATGCTGCTGCAACAACAAAAACAACAACAACAACAACAACAACAACAACAACAACAACAACAACAACAACAATAATAATAATAATAATAATAATAATAATAATAATAATAATAAGGCATATTTCTAGATTGTTCATTGTGTGGCAGTAGTTCTGAACTTAAAATAATGGCATTTTAATATAGTTTATCTTTATTTTCTCCTTTGCGGTTTGTTTGTTCTCTTTTAAACCAATGGGCATCTTGTTTTCATGCCCCTAGTATGCCACTGAATGTGTCTCTGGATGTCTGTGTCCTGATGGGTTGGTGTCCAATGGCAACGGCAGCTGTATTGAGGAGGAACAATGCCCTTGTGCCCATGGAGGAAATTACTATATGCCTGGCACATCTATCATGGTCAACTGTAATACATGGTACAACTTTTTTCGCTATTCCGAAAGTTGTAACTCAGCAAAGTATATAAAGATCTCAAAATAAATAAGCTGGAATGAACTTAGAACATAAATGGTGGGGGCCAGGGGGTGGGGTCCTCAACAGCTAGGGCAGACATGCAGACATGCATCATTTTAAAAAAGAGAATGTGTCACAAACAAAAGGATTTTTAAAAGGCACAGATTTGCATAAACTATATGTACATGAATTTGTGTGTAGAAATGCAGAACATCCAACATATAAATCGAACAGAAATACAGAACATCTTATGGGGGTGCAGATGACTGTGAACAGGTGACCTGTGTGAGTGCTCATTCTGCTGCCCAGAAGCTAACTGCGGATGAGCAATGGTCCTTTATCTATACATCGGGTTTGGTTGGACAGTCTTTCACACAGAGGAGGCCTTCAAACAAAGGACTGTCCTCTGACAGCTTTCCAAATAGGGAATTGTCTTCTGAAAAGCAGAGGAGGAAGTGCCCGACAAACAAAATGTCTTTGAAGCGCACCACTGGCATATGTTGTTTTGGATTTTAAAAGAGTGGGTTTACAGCCTGTTTCCCAGCTGAAGAGATATCACTGGCAAAATGAGTTGACCCCTCCCATCTACCTCTCCCAAATTTTCTTCAGAGTGCTGAGCCCTTGGAGCACACATTTTGTGGGAATGGGTACATGTGGAAGTGGCTGCATATTTTTAAACAAAAAAGTCTCCCTGGGTGACATTGGATGTTGCCCCATATTGTGCTGAGCATTTATGTAGGATAGTTTTAATACTTTTAAATCAGCTGCTGATATTTTCATTTGTAAATATTCTGTGCCAGCTGTGGAATTTTATTTGAAGTTGTCTATAATGAAGTTGTCTAGGAGTTGTCATCTTTCTAAGCAGGCATAGAAAGATGCTTTGTACAATTACTTCTGTATATTGCATGCTGTGATATAAAGTATGGTTCTTTATTTTTTTTTCTCCTAGCAAATGCCAGAGGAGACAATGGAACTGTACAAAGAACCCATGTCAAGGAATTTGCACCATGTATGGGAATGGACACTATGTCAGTTTTGATGGAGCAAAATTTGACTTCAGGGGAGACTGCGAATATATTCTAGTCCAGGTACCAAAACTGCATTGCCTCAAATGTGGGCTGTATGGTGCTAAATTACGATGCTCTAAAACTTTCGAAAAGAATACCAAAGAAGATGTTTTCGAGAAATCTTCATGGAGGAGGCTTAGGGTGCTCATCATCTTACTTATGAGGTGGCTAAAAAGAACATGTTATACAACCATATTTGTAAAAGTAAGCAGACTTAGAAAGAATTACTTCCATTTACTCTATATACTCCTTTATCTTATAAGGTATTGTATCTGGATTCCTGCTTTTGCAAATTACTCCTTGCATGTAGAAATTTAGTAGGGAAAAATAATATCCACTAGCTTACTCTTTTAAAGTGGGACAAATGCGCAGGTACTTTGTCAACAAGAAGTCTTTGAAACACCTCACAAGACTCGTATGTAGTTTTGGTCTCTTGACAATATATGCTAGTTCATACTTTGCAATGTGCAATTCAATCAGGAGTGATCTGTGCCCATCCAATTTGATTCATATGCCAAATCTGAATTTATCTGTAGATTTGTATGGCTAGTGCCAGAAAACCAAGACAGCCATAACTTTGTTTCTGCATTTATACATGAAGGTTGTTAGAATGGTAAACCATGAAGTAGGGAGCTAACCTGATGGATCTCAGATAGGTAGTTTAAAGATCTTGTGTATTAGACATCTATAAAGGTTGCTTTAAATATAACCCAACTAGCACATCAAAGCTATGTGTATCCCATCAAATTTCATTTGTGTCCTGGCTACGAATCAGCTTGTAGGTTTACTGTGGTGCACTTCTGCCCAGAAGCAAATGTGGCCATCCCACTCAATACGGATCTCATTCAGATTTGTCTGACTCAGGTAAACATGGTTGGAAGTTCTTTCTTTGGCCAAAGCCACTGTACAGCCCTAATTGCAACCACAGTGTTATGTGAAGTGGGATCATGGAAGTAAGTGATTGTGTTTCTAACAGTAGGAGGGCTGTTGCATCCTGCTAGTTATGTAAGTGGTGGGAAAGAGTGTATAGGAGGTCTATAGAAGTGGTTGTTGAACCTTAAAAAATAGACAGGAGGATGAACTGGTTAGGCATTTATATGTGAATATGAGAGACAGAACAGGAAAGCAACGTTACAGATCTTCTGTGAAATAGGGAGACACAATCAGTGGCATCTCAATATGGAAGGAGGGCAGTTGCACAGATTCTGAAACACCTGGATAGAGATACGAAGTTGAGAAACACTGATAGAGGCCATAGATTTCCACCTAAAGCACTGTACCTATGGTGGATCTTTCTCAGGAATATATGCTACAGTGGATAAACATTAACATGGAGAATGTAACATGAAATGTACTTTCTGCTTCATTTTCTCAGGACTTTTGTCCAAATAATCTCCAGCCAGGAACTTTTCGGATTGTAACACAAAACATTGCATGTGGTAAATCCTTCTCAGTTTGTTCCTTAAAAATCAGCATCTTCTTAGAGGTAAGTCCAGGACTCCAGATTAGCTTGAAAAGCAGAGAATTGTATAAGTATATTCACATTTTGTTTCTCATACGGCTGATTATGGTTTTGAAAGAATAGCTGTAGTGATTTGTAATAACATTGAAATTAACTGGGTTCTGCCTGAGTTTGTGGTAACCCATCTGCTAACTTGTAACAGGTTTGAAAAGGGAGCTAGGGCAGGAGTGGTCTTCCACAGCACTGCTCTCCCAATCCCTCACCAGTGGTTATTCTGGCTAGGGTTTCTGCTAACCAACATCCACAGTATCTTAAGGATCAAAGATTTCCCTGCTCTCATCACTTATCCATCCATCCATCCATCCATCCATCCATCCATCCATCCATCCATCCATCCATCCATCCATCCATCCATCCATTCATTGCACTTATATTTGAAAAATATGCTGGCCCTTCTGTGACATCATAATGTCTGTGCTGTGACCTAGAAACTCTTCCCCATGTTGATATCTTCTCTTTTAGTGCCTTCTGTGGTTTGAAAAGGAGTAGGAACATGGTGAGGTCTAATATTTGTAGAAAGAAGAGGAGATTGGAAGGTTTTAAATCAGATGTGCTCCAGATGGTTTTTAATGTCTACATTTTTTTTATTCTTTAGTTATAGCACTTATTTATTGCTTTTCTGCCTGGTTGGGCTTCCAAAACAATTCACCTCGGATTAGAATTATTAGTATCATATGAAAAACATTTAAAAGCATATTAAAACATTATTTTAAAGCAAACCCAAACATTCCTAAAAACCTGTTGTATTTTTTAAAAATCACTTTTGCAGACCCAAGGCCGTTCACAAAGAGATGCCAAAACAGGAAAACGTGACTTATGTTTTAATCAGTTAGCCATTTTTCACCCAAACACAAATCAAATGTCATGGCCGTTCTTGGGCTAGTGTGAATGATAGTGAGCACAAAGGGGTATCCTGTAGACCAGTGGTCCCCAACTTTGGGCCTCCAGATGTTCTTGAACTTTAACTCTCAGAAATCCTGGCGAGCAGAGGTGGTGGTAAAGGCTTCTGGGAGTTGCAGTCCAAGAACATCTGGAGGCCCAAGGTTGGGGACCACCGCTGTAGACCATCTTGACTGCTGCCCTCTGGCTGCCCTTTGCTATGTAAATCTTGGCATCCTTTTTCCTTGCTGGCAACATAGGTACGATATTGTGCAGCAATATTTGGCCACTTCCTGGATTTTTGAATCTTGGGTACAGAAGCACAATATCCCACATTCATAAACTGGAGGGTTTTTTAAGAACTAAATTATTCAGCAGGAAGAATGTTCTTCCCTTCAGTTTGATTGATTGATTGGTTGGTTGGTTGGTCGGTCAGTCGGTCGGTTGCACTTATATGCTGCCCATCTAGACATTGTCTACTCTGGGCGGCTCACAACAGACAAGATAAAAACAATTACTATATAATAACAGTTTCACAACACTATTCAAGGCATCTACAACTGGGAATGGAATTCACTTCTCTGACCTCTAGGTTTTTTGGAATGTCACACTAACAAGCAGTGTATCTTGGGAGAATTAAGATGAAGACAAAGATACATAGCCTTATGCTTGACAGGGAATGGCATCTGCAAAACAACTCTACAAAGGATTATAATTCTGTTACTGTGTTAGGTTTTAATTGCAGCTGCAACTGCATTCTTTCTAATCTATTTTTCCAGGATGGTGAAATTAGGCTTGTAGAAGGGCAAGTAGAGGAGCTGACCAGTAAGACAGCTATTGAAAAAAGCTATAAAATCTATCTCATGGGAATGTATATAAAAATTGAAATTTTCCATGGTATGACCTTCATATGGGATATGAAAACAACAGTGATCATTCAAGTGACACCCTCTTTCCAGGTACTGTAGGTGCAATTGTAGTTGTTAAAGCTTGTTTGTACTGGATAATTTTCTATAAAAATAATACCAGAAACATTTAGGAAAACGTGGAACATCAATTGTCATGTTGAAGAACGCATACAACCACTGAGCAGCATGAAAGAAGCATGTTATGTGCATAGCAAGAAACATACAGTACCTTGTGTGGGGAGGGTTTTTTATGAGGGAAGCTTCAGTTGTCTCCCTTCACAGCTTGCAACTGGTGCATTGTGCAACTCCAGATTATGGGAGTAGCTAGCACAAGAGAACATGTTTTAATTCATCTAAAAGACAGTAACATTCTCAATAAGGATACTGGTAAACTGTCAGCAAGAATGTGGGAGAATTTTTCCTTTTGGTCTACAGAACAAGGGGAAACTATGAAATGAAAACACTGAGAAGTCACCAAAGAGCACAGGAACTGTAGTTAATTACACCAGAAAGGCATTGGGCTGGGAAGAGGATGTTGTAAACTCACTGCCCCTTATTTTCATTCTCTTAAAACAGTATGTTACCTTAGAATGGAAGGATTTTTTTTAAATCAAGAGGCTTATATAATCCATGAGGTTATACTGAAAAGTATGTTGAATATTTTATATCTCTTGAAGTAATAAGTAACTATGAGTATTACTACTAGTAGTAGAAGTCATAGTAGCAATATTGGCATAATAGGCAATTATGAGGTAAATTTTTCATTACTTCAATGTTCTGTTTGCACCTATTTTTTTCCTACAGAATACAAAGACTTGTCTATATACGCTCATGTTAGTGCTTTATACAAACTGCTAAGAGTATTTTAGTAAAGTGTAGTAATTTGGATGAATATTTTTTTCTTTTTTCTGTGAAAGTCTCTGAAATAACTTGCACAAATTTCCTAGGGCAGAATTTGTGGTCTTTGTGGTAATTTTGACAACAGTCCCAACAACGACTTTACCACTAGAGGGCAGTCTGTGGAGATGCATGCCCAGGCCTTTGGAAACAGCTGGAAAGTCACCTCTAGCTGTTCAGATACAAACAAAATGGACCTATGTGCAAATCAGCCTTCCAAGCTCATACTAGGGCAAAAGCAATGTGGCATTATCAAGAGTGAGGTTTTTGGAGCATGCCACAGCAAGGTAAGAATCCTTCCTTCCTTCCTTCCTTCCTTCCTTCTTTCCTTGCTTCCTTCCTTCCATCAAGGAATTTTACTTCTNTTCCTTCCTTCCTTCCTTCCTTCCCAGGAAGGAAGATGCCTTATATTGGATCCATTTAGCCCAGTTTTATCAGCTTCCTTCAATCCCTTCCATTTCTTTATTTATATATCATACAATTCTATCAAAATTAGTGCTCAGGGAGCAAATAATAATAGAATATAAACAGATTACTTTCATTTGATTTGGGTTCAAATCCGTCTCACAGGTAGAAAGGGGCATGGATTGCTGGTTTGGGGGTTCATGCCAGTATGTATTTTACTTGAACAGGGGTTGTTCGGTGCTTCCCAGTCCTGCCTCTCTGGTGCCCACTAAGAAGAAGCACCCAGAGGAGGTGGGGCAGGGAAGCCAGGATGCTGCCTCTGAGTGAGTACCCACTGGAGAAAGTGGAGTTGAGAAGCACCGAACACCTGTTCTGCTGAAAAACAAACCGGCATGAATCGCTGAACCAGTAGTTTGTGGCCCTTTCTACCTATGAAATGAATTTGAACCCAAATCAAATGGAATTTATTTGTTTATATTCTATTATTATTTGCTGGCTGAGCACTAATTTTGATAGAATTGTGTGATATATAAATAAAGAAATGGAAGGGATAGAAGGAAGGATATCTGATCCGGTATAATACAACCTTCTGTATACCTATTATGGTAGTATTTTTAAAATGCCACCCAGAGTAGATCATTCGTCTAGATGGGCGGGGTATAAATCTAATAAAATAAAATAAAATAAAATAAAAAATCATGCAGGTCTGGCTCCTAAGACAAATATCTCATTTGCTTTGTGGTGAGGCTGTCTTGAAGCTTCTGCAGTCCAGCAAAGATTGAATATAGTCCTGAAGAGAAATATTTATTGTCGCCTTAATTCTTGTAGATCAACCCAACCCCCTATTATGAATCCTGTGTGTCTGATTTCTGTGGTTGTGACAGTGTGGGAGACTGTGAATGCTTCTGTACTGCTGTGGCCGCTTATTCCCAGAGCTGCAATAGAGCTGGCATCTGTATTGACTGGAGAAATCGTAAAAATTGTCGTAAGTAATCCCAAAACAAATATACATTTCATCTCAGGGATCTTGTGGCTGCAGGGTAGCTGACATTCGTGTAAATTCTCTTGCATAATAAAACGGATATAATAAAGTGGATTACAAGGAACCCTTAGAGAACCAAACCAGTACTTATTTATTAGCCAAAAGATAAATCTGGGTACCAATTGTGTGTTGGTTTGGTTGTGTATTATTTTGAAGGAGACCAGAACCAGGTAATGATTACAAGTTTTGCCAATGACCAATTATGGGATTGCCTCAGACTATCTGTGTCCAAAATTTCACAGGCTAAACAGAGACCATTCCTAAGATAAGTATTTGGAGAGTTACTTTTAAGAAGAATGGATACAATCATACAGAGAAGCTATCCATGGCTGAATAGTCAAAAGACAATGCTCTGAATCTCATAACATCAGTGTAGCTCTATTCATTGCAGATAGTGTCAGTATATCATTATATTAATTCTTCTTCAAAGTAACATTCCAGGCTCTGAATTGTGTCTACAGCTCACTCAGTGGATGTTTTCAGCAGTCTTAGAGATCTTCCTAACTATTGTCCAACTATACATTCTGTGTACAACTGCCCACTGACATCTTATAAGGCAAATGCCATCCAGTCATGTTATATGAATGGGACTGTGTCAAATATTTGTAGCTCTAATATTTTTGGAGCTGGCTGGATAACATGGTGAGTTCATCCAGTCTGGCTTTCCATATGATACAATCACACTTCTTCATTTTGGCTTTATTTTTATAAATAAATCGTAACATGGTATATATAATATGTAGTTGCTCCTCTGAGGTTATAATTACCTCATTTTCAGACCTGCTAAGGACCTGATGGTTTTTATCATGTCCTGTGGTAAAACCATAGAATTCAAAAGGGTATATTTTCTTTTTCACATGACTGTATGTTCTATGTACAGTTAAGGGGATAAAACGCACCTTTGTACAATACCTTTGTCTCCCAGAAACCATTCTGTTTCTCCACATTCTGTCCCAACGATAGCTTCTTGTCCACAATACAAGTTATACATCATGATGACCAAGTGCTGAGGCACACCCATTTCTTTCTTGGATTACTGTGTAATCCTCAGCCACAGTTATAATCCACACATACCAAAAGAAAGCACAAAACTCTATGTCTAAAGCACTTCACTGATTTTGCCTTAATTTTCAAAACTACATGTTTGAACCAGTAGGAACATCTTACGATGAAAAGCAGATATATTTAATTATATGATTCAGCAGATTGTTCTACATGCATGTGTATGACCAGAGGCTGGCCAGAGAAGTGAGTGGGAAAAAGCTCTAATGAAAATCTGAGCTTCACCACTTACAGATGAGTGTATTTTCATCTAGCTGTGCTCTGTGACTACTACAACTCACCGAACAAAAGAGAATGGCAGTATAAACCTTGTGGAGAACCATGTTTAAGGACCTGCAGGAATCCAGGAGGAAAATGTGACAATATACTATACAGTTTGGAAGGTGAGCTTGACACCATTTTGTTTATTCTTATAAAACACATTGGAAAGGAAGCAAGCAGAGATATGGAGAATGTGATCTGTTTCAGGGGTAGACGTTTACCAAAGCCAAAGACCCACTGTCTTGAATAGATGGAAGGTGAAATGTGTAGTCCAAATTATGAGAAAGTAATATATGCTATGGAAGCACTTATGTTTCCCAATCACTACCTACTAGACAATCCATACTAAGATGGCAGCTTTATGAGGCCGACCAAAAACACATGCAAGCTTTTGTGATTATTATCTCCTCATCAGGCATAATATTATAAAAATAAGCTGAGTATGAACTTTAACTTTTAAGTCCTTGAAGTCTGCATACTTGTCCTGAGACTCAACACCAATTCTTGTTCCTTACAATATAGTAAGAAAAAGTTACCCCTTTGTCAATCAATGACTATTTGGGGGGGGGGGAACCAAAATGAAGTTGTGTAGTCATTGCACAACATAAATGTAGAATAATGTAACATCTTTATTAGACCACTAAAAATTCTAATAATTGATGCAAGCTTTCATGGATGAAAAAATCTTGTGAATTTGTGAACAGTGCAGAAAAATTATGAATGTCTCAATGTCCCAAAAATTCAGGACAATGTCCCAAAAATTCATGGCAAAAGTTTGCCAGGCATCCTCTTAAGGTGAGTTTAAAGCTGGTTACAGGAAGGCTGTGGGGGTGTGGCTTAATGCTTCACCTCTTATATTTCCACTCAGAAAGTATTCTGTCTGAATACTTTCAGACAGAAGCAGCCTATTACTTTGTGCATCAACTGTTTTTGGAACATAAGTTTCCTTTTTCGCTGGGGAGGGGGAGAGAAAAGACAACACATAGAAATAGCAATCCTCAACAGAATACTAGGATAAAGTTTAGTTTGCTCAAAATTGTTTGACTACTGAAATGATTCTTTCCCTGTTTGCTCCCATGTTAGGCTGTTTTCCCGTCTGTAGTGCTGAAAAGCCATATTACGATGAAGAAAAAAGAGAATGTGTTTCAGTGCTTCAGTGTACCTCATGGTAGGTAATTTATCATGGACTTCCTAATACAGATGGGTAATTGAACAAGCATAGAGAGAGGGCTGCAGTAACCTAAATAGTGGCATCATCGGGATTTTCACTTCATCCCTGGAATATCTGTCCCTCTCTATGTAAAACATAGTCTAGAGGTGTTTTCAGCTTTTGAGGTGTCCAGAAGGATACATACAATAGGGTTAAAAGATTGTACACACACACACAATATTGAATGTTCTATTAGATTCAGTCCTATATGTGTATTTGCAATTTTTAGGCAGTACAGAATTAACTCTCTCCCCTCCCTCCCCATTTCCTACAGTGATCCAAAAGAAAGACTCTGCATGAACAAATCAAATGGTAAGATGCCTACTGTTAGATCAAAATAGGTTTTATTTCTGAAATAAAAGAGGGCTTGGGTGTACACAACCATAGGTAATTTATGATGCGTGAGACTCCAAACTTTTGGGTCGGGGTGCCCCCTATCCTGGTCCATGAACATTCTCTGTATGCAACGTCTGGCAACTAGAACCCACAAAACATCACATTTACTAAACAGCCATAATCAGCTGGCTTTCTCTGAGTTAATCAGGGAATCATTAAGTGAATATATTCCTATTGCTGGCTCCCAAAATAGCTTCTTTCTTTTGGCCCCAATACTGGGCCACACAAGGCTTCTCCAGAAGCCCAAACACAACTGGAGCTCCAGAATGCCTCACAAAGAATCAGATCAGATACATATTTGACCACAGTTAAAAGCCCAAGCTCATGTGCTTGTACTCTCCATCTCCCCTCACAAATAAAAGACCTAGACAGGTATTAATCCTTTAATGAAAACTGAACATTTATGGGGTGGGGTGGGGAGAATTTTGAATGCCAAAGTTTAAATTGACTCTTAAATTACTCTTCTTTCTTTACTCCTACGTGTTGTAACAGATCATTCCTGATCACATTTTCAAAATTGTCCCTTTGGATCTTTTAGATCTAAAAGTCTATAGTTTGCTGTATAATGGTCCTGAAGCAGGTCTGTGTTTCTGGAATATATTTCTACCCACCCTTGCCTTCGCTACTAATCATTCCCCTCTCCACTTTCTCCTTGATCTAGAGTGTCTTTGTTGCTACAACAAGAAAACATACTCCTTGAATGAATTAATATATAATAAAACAGTTGGGGATATGTGCTCCATAGCGATCTGTGGTCCTGGTGGAAACATCATTGATACACTCAGCCCATGTGGTACATTCCTGACAGACATTCTTTATGCTTGGAAATCAGGTACTTGCCTTGAACATCAGATGGGCATCATGTATATCAGGAAAAACTTCCTAATTGTTAGAGCAGTCCGACAGTGGAACCAGTTACCTCGGGAGTTGGTGAATGCTCCAACACTTGGAGGCAATCAAGAAAAACTTAGATAATCACCTGGCAGATATGCTTTGATTGTATTCCTGCACTGAGCAGGGGGTTGGGCTTGATGGCCTTGTAGGCCCTTTCCAACTTCATTTTTCTGTGATTCTATGTTTGCTATTACAGGTGTTTGATATAGAGATGTGGTCCAAATCATTTCTAGGGTATTGGTCCTGCCCTATACAAGCATTCATGTTGCATAAACAAAGTATCCCTTGGCATTTTAAGAGCATGAGAAATCCTCCGTATGCCCAGAGCTCCATGAATGCATTAGAAATGTTACTGTGCATATGGAACTCCTGAACACTATCAACCTGTAGAAGACAACAAAGATTTGTTTAAATTAATCTGATTCTTAAACTTGGTCAGAAGGTACTCAGTTAACATTATCTACTTCACAACTATCAATTGTGCTATCATTTTAAACAATGAAAGTAAATGTACAAAAACATAATGCTAATGATTTGGTTTGATGACATCTCAAATAACAAATATTATGTTTAAAATATGAGAGCATTGGAGAATTTTGCTCCTAACTAAATTTGCTCCATTGATATAAAATCCGGTAATCAATGTCAAAAATATTAGGTTTTCTTGCAAACTAAGATATATGTCTGATATTTTGTAACTGAATCATAATTAATCTTTCAAAGCTCTTCAAAGTGGTATTTAGGGATGGCCTGCAGAAGCTGACATCTTCATTCCCTCCTTTCCCAGTCAACTCTCAGAATCGCTGAAAAACCGTAACTTGAGAGCTAGAGATGGTTAGTAACCTCCTGAATGAGGTGGGTTGTGAAACAGAGGGTGTGGGAGAAGGATTCAATCCCTGAAAATCAAACACGGGCACTTTTGACAAATATGAACTCTATCTGCAGAATGCACACTCACCTGGTTTGAGGGATTACTCATTTTCCTGTGCAGATAAGCAAAGCCGGAGTTAGGAAATCAGCTTTGGCAAACTGCCTTATTTGAACACAGTTCACATAAGGGCCTGCGTATGGCCCTTCATGGCTATATCTCCTATGGTTTCTAAGGATTAGATTAACACAAGTAGAATCTCCTAGATCTGTCTGTTATCTGAGTAACAAAATATACCTAAGATTAGAAAATAATTCTATAAGCAGGTGCACAATAATCAAGATAGAAATAATTGTACATAAACAGAAATAACATTGAAGTAGTAGTTACATGAATAACTGCTGGTCAGAATTTGTAGCTGTATTGTTAAACTCAAAGCAAGATGCCCAAATCAAATGGTCATATATAAACTGGAGATGAAGAGCTAAAACAAACATGGATCCCTATTAGTTTTTCTTAACTATAGAGTATACACCGGACAATAGTGTTTCATCCAGTGATCCTGTCATTCAGTAGAGATAAGACGCAGGGTTAAAAAAATTTATGTGTTGGATTAATCTATGCCCCATTAGTTTCTTTGGTCTTACTTCTATTACAAGACTAGAAAGAACAGGATGCTTGTCCATGCAGTAGGGGGTAGGAAAATAATGTGTGGCTTATTGTGAAGCACTAATTAAAATGATATATATAATTCAGCAGAGCATGGCATGATGTTCACACCTCAGACATTTGCTCCATCTCCAATTCCAAGATCAGGTGAAGATGTATGAAATTTATGAAGTAGAGGACAGAAATAAAATTAATATTCATACATGAAGCACTGTGTGTTAACATTAGTGGGAAGGTAATGGTGCTAGTTTACTACACTTTAAAGACTAATGTATGTATTTAGCATGAGGTTTTGTGAACTGCAACTCCTTCATCAGAGTCCTGGAGTGTCAGGCAGCATATACATAAAACAGTAGGAGGGTGGGGCAGGCATGCAAAGAATACCAGCAACTGATGATCATAAGATTATTATCGTTATAACACTGGCCATTTAACAATCATTGGGAGGTGACAAAGACATTGTAGTACAGATAAGATTTACGCAAAATAAATTATCTTTGTCCATCCCTAAAATAACAGAGAGTTTAAGCTCTCAGTAGGTTTGGAGGGAAGGAAAACAAAAGATTGTAGACAAAAGGTCAGATGTGTCGTTATGAATGTTTACATTGTTGTTACATGGTCTCATCATTAGTATTCATATTTGTGTTCTAATAGTGTTGACCGTTGATGAGACAATTGAAAGGGTTGACAAGAGTGTAAGGATAAACAATGCTTCAAGCCCTGAAGATTACATCTGTTGCCAGCTGGGGTCCTGGAGGACATTCATGAGCTCATATACACACAAATGCATCTCCCCATACTTCTTGCTAGAGTCCTATCCCTTAACAATCTCCACTGGTATCACTGTTTATCCATTGATACTATCAGTAAGTAAGAAGACACTGCCCTCAGCAACCAGGGAACAGTGGCTTCCCACCTCAGGGCTCTGGGAGTAAGGGTGGAGTGTTGTCAGAAGAAATGGTTATATCCATACCATAATGAGAGATAAATTGCTGTCCAGTTTCCAGTTGCATGTAATACACTGAAATTAGAAAAAGACCTAAAATGGGGCTGGGCAGCACCAGACTTACTGTATATTGCCTCACCTGGCTTTTGTGTCTTTTAAGGTTCCACCACCACTGACATTATCTTGTTAGTTTCCTTGAATGCTATTTTTTATTTTAAAAAGTGGAAGGGCAGGATAAAACTAAATAAACCTTATCCAGTCCAGAATGCAGAAAGAGTGATTCTTAGTCAATTCTCATCATGTGGCACATGAAACCAAGTCTCCTTTAGGAAGGCAGCAGCTTTAGCAGGGCAGGTTGGCTGGTTTCTCTCTCCTTCAGAAGGATGCACTAGTTTGTGGTGTATGTGGGTCATTCAGTATTCTGGTAACTAGGTTGAATGAGGTCACAATGGCCAATATGGTGCCCCAGCATGCAGGTAACATTGCCCAGTCTCTTTTTCTCTCAGTTTCTCTATCTCTCTCATTGAAGAAAGCAGTATTCAGAAGATGTGATCATATTCCCCCCCCCACACACACACACACTGAGGCAGGAAGATGTAGGACCATGTGGTCAGTCTTAGACTTTTCTTAGTTGTGCAACAGCACATGAGCATAGTCTTTCTCCTGGTGGGTGAGTAGCTACAGCAAGTGTGATCCCAGTGGCCTCAGGGTTTCTTTTGCTAAAATAGTGGTAGCATCTGGACATGTAAGTAGCAAGCCCAAGTCAAGGAGACGAATATAACTCTCATGACATCACCACCATGATTATAGGACTTTTACTTCTTACAGCAAGTTACTCAAGGTGGGCTGGTACCAAAAAAAGAAAGAAAAGAAAAGAAAAGAAAAGAAAAGAAAAGAAAGAAAGAGAGAGACCTTTGGGTAGTGTGGGCGGCATATAAATTAAATAAATAAATAAAATAAATAAATAAATAAAAGGAAAAGGAAAAAAATGAGGTGGTGAGAAGCAAAGAGGCAGAAGGATAGTGGTAAGACATGGTAGCAACTGATAGAATCTACAAGAAATTGGCATAATTGGAGAGATGCTGCAGGAAGCAGTCAAACCCATAGGTATTAATTTGGCAACCCAAATATAAGAGGGTTTCAGCTTTCAGTGTATGTTCAACAGGGATAATAGGAGGAGGAAAATTCAGTGGCACAATGTGGATAAACTACAGAGGTGGGCAATAGTTTATCATTCAAGAGCTGAGCCAACATGTCCTCCTAGTTTTGCTGCATCATTTCTAGGCAGTGAAAACCAGGAGTCCATTTAGATGAAATGGTACATGGTGGGATGCTGCAAACTATGATAATACCTCTGGATCCTTCCTCACCTTGCCTCCATGTGTGAAGGAAAAGGGAAGGAAGTGATGGAGTGTATCAGCCTTGGCTTTGTGCCTGCTTATTGTCAAAATGACATAACGTGCACTTGCATGTAGCATCTCAGTGTTGTTTTGTGTGTTTATGCTTTGAAATTACTACCTACCTCTGAAAATGTATTCTGTAACATAACCAACTCTTGGTAAAATGGCATCTTCCATAATTCAACAGATGTAAGGTTAAAGCTGAGATGTGTTCCTAGCCTCATTCAAAAGACAGACAAAATAAAAATCGCTGACATTTGAAGTGTCAGATTAAATTGGACGGATTTCAGTTCCTCCACACATGCATGTGGAAAGGAATACGTGAAGGTGTAGTCAGTCAAGTGGCGCTACTGCTTATCTTCTCTTTCGGAAAGCTTTCAAATAAAATTTCAATTTTGACTTGTTTTAGGAAAAATGTCTCCCACAACCGCACCAGCAAAACAAGAAATTAAAGCCACTCCATGCATATGTAATATAAATGGACTGCTGATAAGTAATGGTAAGATAGTCGTATTGTCATACAGTATTTGAAATCACTTCTGCAAAATTAATTTGTATTTATACTATATATTTCAGAATCTCTACAACTATACATGCTTTTCCCTCTTTTTTAAAAACCTGTAATAATGCCATTTTAGCTATTCAGCTCTGAATATCCCCTAGGTCTTCCAAGTTTGCACACCCCAGAACTAAAGCTATAAAAACTACTGCTTAGGACTGAGCAGAGTGAATATATAATGATATTTCTAAAATGATAATCCTGTGCTCTATAATGGTGCTTGTCTTATGACTGCTATAGACGGTGTTACTATTTTTATTTTATTTTTTTAGACAGCAGCCAGTTTGTGACAATGGATGCTTCAGGTTGGTGTATTTATGCTTTTTGCAACAAATCCTGCCAGACTGAATTCATGTTTGGAGAATGTATCTCATTCCTTAACACTAGCATTGCAAGCAAAGTTGCCACGATGTCCAGCAGGCCTTGTAAGGGGGATGTTCAAAACTGTGAGAAGGAGTTCCTTCCTTATTCTAGAGTTAATGATGTCCCTGCATTTACCTCTGGGAGTGATTGCACTGACCTTATTCCTCCTAGAAAGGTGAGTAAGGACACTGTTGATAAGCCAATGAAATAGAAGATGTTGTCCCTTTTGATCTCAATATTATATTTTATATCATATAAAAAAATTGTGAGAATTGATAATGTTGCAAATACTGGATCATCAGGTGCAGGTCTGGATCCTGAGTGGGGCAGAGGGGCGCAAATTACGCCTGGGGAGGCAGCAAAATTGCATGGCATTGTATCCAACAAATATCTTGCAGTGATGTTCAGCAGGTAAAGGCTACAGCTGTGTGGTTCACTGTTTCAAGTTAATGTGTTTTTCCTCTGCTACATAGGAGCACCAGTTAGTTAAACCAGTTAGTTGCTACTTCTCGGAGTGTACAGTCAATCAGGGCACCAGAGCAAAGAGGACATGGCCCATTTATAGCTCCTAGTCCCTCAGTGCCTATGTGCTTAAAAAGTCACAATTGTATTGATTCAGCTCACTGTTATTCCATTTGTTGCCTTTATCTACCCGCCCCCCAAAATAGTGATTGTACAGTGACATGAGAGGGAACTATACCACATTACAATTAAGTTGAACTGGTGGACTGCTACAACAATCAAGATTGGCTAGTTGTGCTAATATCTCTTGTATGTGTATCTGTGCAGGGTCAAAGGGGACACTTTCCTCCCCCATGAGTCCTAAATATATTTATCATGCTAATATATGTTGACAAGACATTATTGTAGTAGTGGGAATTTTTATAGCTTATGCTAACACACCATTATGCAGATTTGCCTCCAACCCCTGGAAAACCTTCTGTGGATATTCTTGACCTTTCCTGCTTTTTCTTTCATTTTATACCTCAATAGTTTCAAGAAATATGGAAATTTGGAAGCTGCCAAATTGCCACTTGTTTGGGTGGAAAACACATTAAAGTATCTGACGTGCAGTGTCCACCCCAAAAGGCCAAACTCTGTGTCAATGGACTACCACTTGTAAAAAGTCACGATGCATCGGGCTGTTGTGAGGTTTCTGAATGTCAGTGTAAGTGACTTTGGAACAAAGTGCTACCCTGTACAATGATGAGGTTAGAATAATTTCTGAAGTCCTATGTGATTTAAGGCAGAGGTGTTTTTTTTGCCTGAGGGCCACATTATCTGTGGAGGGGGTACTGTGTGCCAAGCATGTTGGCGCCAAGGCCAAAAGGGGATCAAGCTAACTCTCGGGACCTCTTATCCATATTCAGACACAAACATGGGCAAACTCATTCCCACTCCCACTTTGCTACTGCTCTGCAATTTCTTAATCACCAAAGCAATGGCAAAGGCAGTGGAGAGAATGTGCAAAGGGACAATTTAAAATTCTGCTCTGTGCAGTCTATGCTACTACTCTACTACATTGGATTGCTTCCACAGGAACTGTCATTTCAAGTCGTCCAAGGTGGCTTGAGGCAGAAATTCCCACCTGAACCATCTTCTATCACCCTTCAAGAGTTTCAGCGGAAAAGGCAAGAGATGAACAAAGTTTCTAGGAACCTACATTGCAGTGCATGGTAGAAGCCTTGAAAGATTGTCTCCCTGCACAGCCAGGTTCCTTTGCCTTTTCCAAAGGAGGGAAGGGTTTTAGAAAGGGACAAAGACAATCTAATGACAGGAGTTTGATTTAATTATCATAGAGTAAGAGAAATTTCACATACAAGTATGTAGGTAGAAATTAAAAACATACAAGCATGACTATAATTTTGGAGATATTCTCGTGAGTCTCTGAATGGATCCAACAAGAAATTTGTCTGGCAATGAGCAGTAATTCGAGGGCATAACAAATATTTGCAATTTTTCTTGTTCTTGGCAAAAAGGGGGGCATATCTCGATACTTCAGGGAAACCCTCTAGAAAAAAATTGTCAGCCTCTGTGATTTTTTTTTACTCTTGCTCAAAAGCAAAAGACCAGCCCTCTCTTTTCAATGTAATCATTATTAGCAAAGTGGGGCTTGTGCAAACATCTTGCCTTTTGGGCAAAATGCAATGATTTGCACAAAGTACAACTTTTGTACTGAGCAGATTTTTTCTGAATAGAAACTTTTATGCAAAACCCACTTCTGAGATTTTTTTTTAAAAAAATCCTGAAATATAGGGAGAAAGCATGAAAAGTCTTGTAATCTCACTCAATGGAGAGGAAATGCTTAACATGTTTCCATTACACCTGCAAGAATTCAATAAGTGAAATTTTGGGTCCTTACTTCCCATTTCATGGGTTATGCTACTTGTGGAGTTGCGAGCGCTAGGAGAAACCACAAGTGTACAATGCAACTTAAAATAATATTTGGATAAGCTCACGTTACCACTCTTGTGGCCCAGATTTCTAATACTATCTATATACCTTTGAGATAGAATTCTGGAGTGTCTATTCTATGTATCGCTTAGACTGGCTCCAAACCATTGTCAATAGATGATAGACTTACAGAGAAAGGAATGTCTGTGCTATGTTAGAATCATTTGTAAGCAACTAGGCACAGCACAGTTCATACAATGATAAATATTAGGATCTTGATAATTTGCATTAATATGCTGCAAATGACAAATGTAGCTTTCTAGGGCAGCAAAAAAGAATATTCCTAAAAGCTAGATTTCTTTGCAAGTCTACAGACATAATGTGGCAATAAAGAACCAAGGACTAGGAAGGGGAAGAATTTCATTTCACTTCATTTTAAGAATTCATTCATTCATTCAACTTCTCTACTACCCATCTGCCTACCAAGGCCACTTTGGGTAGCTCACAACACAGTGAAACAAAAGACAACACTTTAAAACAAAACTTAACATAGTAACTGTACAAGAAACCAAATTTGTTGGTTGTAGGTTTTTCAGGTTGTTTGGTCATGTTCTAAAGGTTTTGCTTCCTAACGTTTCACCAGTCTCTGTGGCTGGCATCTTCAGAGGACAGGAGTTAAAACTCTGTCTGTGTTTTGGTGTAGTGTGTGGGATAGTTGAGTATTTGTAGCTGTGGGATCAGCTTTTTGTCCTTTTTAGGAGATTGGGTGATTTTTTGTTATATGTGTATTGTTGCGATAAGGGGGGGAGGGTCTGTCACTGTGATTGATGGGTGTCGTTAGCTACTCTTTTGTGTGCAGTGATCACCGTTCCTTGTGGCTGGGCAGAGTTCGTTGACCTTTTGCAGGCTGTATTTTTCAGTGCTGGGAGCCAGGCTTTGCTGAGTTTTAGACTTTCTTCTTTTTGGTTCTGCTGGTGTTTGTGGATATTAATGGCCTCCCTGTGCTGTCTAACATAATGATTGCTGGTGTTGTCCAGTATTTCTGTATTTTGAAATAGGATTTCATGTCCAGAATGTGCACCTACTGCTGATTTTTTCAGTTGTTTTAGTCTGCAGTGTCTTTCATGTTCTTTGATTATGGTGTGGATGCTGCATTTTGTGGTCCCAATATATACCTGGCCACAACTGCAAGGTATCTGGCATATTCCTGCAGTGGTGAGGGGGTCCCTTTTGTCCTTTGTTCTAACTCCTGTCCTTTGAAGATGCCAGCCACAGAGACTGGCAAAACTTTAGGAAGGAAAACCTTCAGAACACGTCCAAACAGCCTGAAAAACCTACAACCACCATAGGATCCCGACCATGAGCTTTCGAGAGTAAACCAAATTAGACCTGCTTTGAAGATCAGTTTCTAACCCTACACACACACACACACACACACCTAAAAATAATTTAAAAGGTGAGGTGGTGGAGCAGATAGTATAAGGGCTGAAAACCCCACACACACACACACACACACACACACACACACACACACACACTAAAATAATTTAAAAGGCAAGGTGATGGAACAGATAGTATAAGGGCTGAAAACCATCTGCCTATGATGATGTAAACTATGGGAAAGCCGGTCTAAACAGCCATGTTTTCAGATTATTTGAAAATTCCCAGTGAAGGAGCCAAGTGAATTTCGGGCAGGAGATTATTCGAGAGGTTGGGGATGACCAATAAGAAGGGCTGGTTTCTGGTTTTCTCTTTCTGAATCTCTCTTGGGGTGAGTAACCTCAACTGCCCAGCCAGGGAAAATGAGGTAGGTCAGACAGATGTTACTGGATGAAGAATTTGTCATAATTTGCTAATTTCCTCATTTTGGTGTAGACATGTTTAAGTCAAAGAGATTGCTACCCCCTTTTTTCCACTAAGAAATTCTTCACTTTAAATGCCTATACGACAGGCTGGTGTCCAGCATAGTTCTCCCTGTGCCGGGAACAGCCATTCCTGTGGAATTTGTCTGGTGCAAGTGGGGAAGAACTCCACTTAAGTTCATTTTTGAAGACTTCACTGACACTTGAAAATTTCATATTTAGAGCAGAAAGATTTTGAGATTTTAGAATGTTAATGAAAGAGGAAATAAAACAGATTCTCCTTACCAGAGATATGTTTCACATTCAGGAGGTCTGCATTCACCCTACCTGCCACATGTTCTTAATTGTTCTGGTGCTAGGCACGCTACAGATACCTTCCCTCCAGTGCATCTTAGCATCTGGACTGTATGTGTTAGTCTGTATCTGATGGACTAGTGGATGGGAGGGCTTGATAGGCTTTTGACCCATCTCTGTGATTCCTTTACTCTAAATTTAATACCTTTGCTTCTGCTTTTTAGGTGCTTGCAATGGATGGGGGAATCAACACTATATCACATTTGATGGATCCTATTATAATTTCCATGGGAATTGTTCCTATATTCTCATGAGACCCATTAGGCCTCGCTCTCAGAACTTCTGGATTCAGCTGGACAACCACTACTGTGCTGCCTCAGGCAGGGCCATTTGTTCAATGGCACTCTTCATATTTTACAACCACTCTACCGTCATTTTGACGCGAGGGACTGGAAATGGAGAAGAAGTCAACCTGGTAAGGCATCATTCCCATAAAAGCAATTTTCTGTAGGAATAATGAACACAACAGGCATTTAAATAGGTTTGGGAAGAAAATGAGAGAAAGGTTAGGAGTGGTCTACAAAATGTTCTGTTTTTTTTTCTGATACACAGATTTATAATTCTGTGGCTGAAATCCGGTGATAAGTCACAACTAGAGTAGGCCCATTGAATGGGGATTTAGTCAGTCAGGTAAAGATAAAGGTAAAGGTACGCCTTGACATTTGTAGTCCAGTCGTGTCCAACTCTAGGGGGCGGTGCTCATCCCGTTTTCAAGCCGTAGAGCCAGCGCTTGTCGGAAGACAGTTTCCATTGTCACTAGGCCAGCATGACTAGGGAACGCTGTTTTACCTTCCCACCGTGGTAGTACCTATTTATCTACTTGCATTTACATGCTTTCAAACTGCTAGGTTAGCGAGGAGCTGGAACAAAGCGACGGGAGCTCACTCCGTCATGTGGATTCGATCTTACGACTCTTGGTCTTCTGCCCCTCCAGCACAGGCTTCTGCAGTTTAGTCAGTCAACTCTTCTGCAAAGGCCATAGATTCAGTGGGTCTGTTATAATTGTGATTTACTGCTGGATGTCTGCCAATGAAATAGTTCATTAATATATAAATATTCAACGATAACAGTGAATAATACGTTCTTATATCCTGTTAGATAATAATTCTAAAATATTCTCACAGATGTCTATTAAGGAGAGAGGGAGGCTAAAGGAAAGAAGAATTACTTTCCCAAAGATGTCCAGTAAATGTATTTTGGCAAGAGGGAAAAGGGAGATGCTTTTTCCTGCCCATTGCTTACAGTGCTTATTTTGTTTTTCAGCACAGGAGCAATTGACAAGCAAATACTTACTTAATGAGCAGTCACTGAATAATGTCTATGACCAGCAATGATAAGTGACCCAATTACCTTCTTCATGGTCCAATCTACATTATGAGCCTGAAGTGCTTCCGATTTTGTTTGTACTTTAGATTTAGAGTGCTCTCTTGCTTTAATATTGCAGCTGCACTTAGGGTGTGACCACATATAGAAACAGGTTATGATTTGGACTGTTTGTTTAGTGGTCTGCTATGATCTCTTTCTTTGTGATCATATGACATACAAGGAAAAGCATTCCAGTCCAACCTCAATCTATGCCCAACCTGA